AAAAATAAAATTTAGAATTTTAAAAAATAAAAAAATTCAAGAAAAAAAGACTCTCCCTCCCTCACAACAATCAGTCCCACCACTGATGCACAGCAATCCCTTCATCCCTAACTTTCCCATACAAAGCCAAACACTGACAATAAGCCCTTTTGCTTCCATCGCTCTGATCTTCGTCGTCTTGCCATTGATTCTTGCACTCCAAGAAAAGCTCGTCGACTAGGCAAAGTGTCTTCTCCTTCAACATCTCCTCCACCAACTGCGCCTCCGCCTTCATCACCACGTAATCCTCCCTCCCGACTTTCCCCCTCATCCAGTTCGACACCCCGGTTTCCTTGTGGGCCCCACTCGCTTCGACGTCGTACACTTCGAATTCTTGATCCCGCATCGGGTACGACTTGTAGAACCACTCGACCGCGCTCGTGTCGTCGGTTATGAAGACTCGTCTAGGGTACTCGTCCAGCGAGTCCTTCAAGAGGTCCGGGAGGAACTTGATCTTTCTTGATGTTTTGAAGCTCGTTTTCTTCTTCTCCTCGACCTCCGCCCGTCTTGGCGGCTCGAGGTAGACGTCCTCCAAGCCCTTTAGGGCGGCCTTCTTCTCCTCCGATGTGGCGGAGCCCCCGCCGCATGAGACTTCCTCCTCCTCGTCGGCGACGGTTGACGTCGCCATTTTCCGCATGGCCACCACAGTGCTCTCGAATCGTCGTAGATAGACGATCTTGTAGCTGCTTAGTAGTCGCAGGCCGTTGGATGGGTCCCGCCCTAGCGGGGAGACGACGAGGCCGGTGTCTTCCTTGAGAACGCCGTCCACCACCTCCATACTGTTGAAATTTCTTGTGAACACAAAATCAAACACGTGGTGTGCGTCCGCGTTCGTCTCCTCCTGCGCGAGCAGATCGACGCCGGCGTCTCTTAGGAACTCGAAGTCCTCTTCCATGTCGGCGGCGGTGGCGCCGATGACAAGGCCACGGTGGCCTTTCTTGACGAGGCCCTCCTCCACCAAGTCGCGGAGGAGAATCGGCAGAATTTTGAACCCGTCGCCGGCGGCGGCATCTCGATCTGCGGCGGCGGGTTTGAACATAGAAGCTCTGATCATCAGAGAAGTAGACGTAGATCGGAGCGAAGGCAGTGCCAGAAAAAGCACAGTTAGGAAAAGCGAAAGTGACATCACGCGCAGAGCGCGTGAATCGGGCAGATTGATAACCAAAACGGCAGGCGAGTTCGATTCACTCGCCTCCTCATCGTACTCGCCCTTGTTGGATCTTAACGCACGACCCAAATTTTCCATCTCCAGAAAACAAGGAAAGAATTGCCGCCGGAAATGTCACGAGAAATCAATTGTGAAAGAGAGAGAGAAAGTTCTAGAGAGAGAAAACAACAGAAACAAAATTCAAAAAAAAAATTACAAAAAACAAAAAAAAAAGCGCGGGGAAGGTGGAATTTTAGCGGGTACAAAATCTGGAAGCGGTGTGATTTCCACCCACGAGAGCAACACGATTACTTCGGATTCTACACCAGAGGAGCAACAATTCGCTAATTCTAGCAATTTCCATTTTATTTAATTATTGATCTTCTTCCTCGCCTTTCTCTCTCCAAGTTCCAAAACGGTGTCGTTTCTGTCTGGTTTTACATGATATCAGAAATTATATATATAACTGAATCACCATGAACCAGAACAGAAAATGAATTAAAAAAAATGGCAGAGAAAGCGAGAAAAGAAACTGGAAATTATTTGAAATTCTCTTCTTTTTTTTTATTTTATTTTTTTATGATTATTATTTTTTGTTTTGGTGAGAATTACGAGGGAAGGGTTGTTTTGGGTGGGGGGTTATATATTGAGGAAGGATAATTTAGGGCTGTGAATTCAGACGAACACCATTGTTTTAGGTTTGGGTAATGATTTCTGAGGTTGTTGTCTGTTTTCCAAGTACTATAATTAAGGAGACCAACATTTGAATTTTTTTTTTTTTTTTTTTAAATTTTATTTTTACATGGTAAAGAACATTTGTACGTAATTTGTTCTAGTAGTTTTGTGTGCGAGTGATGGAGAAGATTTAGTGGCAAGGATTTCCCCGTGGGGAGTTCGTGTTCGTGTTCGCTTTTACTCCACCAACTAGGTTACCGATTTTCCCATGCAAAAATATAATATTCTTGATTAATTAAATAATAATGATATATGTTTGATGTTTATGTTAACATTGTATAAATAATACTCCCTCCTCCTTATATTATTTAACAATTTTAGGATTTTGTTTGTTTTAAATTAAATTATTTGCCATTTTAGAATTCGAATGAAAGAGTAGTGTAAGATGAAATTACAAGAAACTCTGTCTCTATGCGGCCTAGTTATCATACAAAATCAGTCAGCCTTTCATTTGATTATCTTCTCACAAATTCACATGGACTTTGATCAAGCAAGTAAACGCAACAAACAACGAGTATGCAACGAAAAACAAATACATACAAACGTATACGGATAATGCTCAACCTTTATATTATTTTCCATAAAAATGGAAAAGAGAAGACCAAAGTACGTACACTCACAAAATCCAACCCTAGATGCTCAATATAATGCAATCTGAACTCTTTATGCTTTCCGAATTTCAACCACTCGACCCAATCTAGCTAACAAAAAAACACCCTATATTTACCACCATTTACTCTGCCACCAACCTTGTTAACACACCACTTGGCCCACAACTGCACCACCATCGGTGTCACCGGCCACTACCTTCAAAAGTAGCCACCACCACCTAGACACAGCCTACCCCACCACCAAACCCCCGCAAACATCTGGAAAGACGCCTTCGTCAAATGCTCCATGTCGTCCGCCTCACCACATCCACCTCAATTGGTGCTCCCTTCTACAATCTCCCTCTTCGCCGACGGCTTCATATCCGTCGAGTGTTCCGACACCGTTATTTTGACGGTGATGCCGGTGGCCGTGGTTCTTCATATATCTTTATATCGAGAGATAAGAAACTAGAGATTTGAATCAGGAAACAGAGAAGAGAGAGAGAAAAAAAAAAAAAGAGAAAATAGAAGACGGGAGAAAAAGGGGAAAAAAATAATAGTTAGAGTTGTAGAAGGGTATATTAGACAATTTAAATTTGTGAGAATAACTAAAGGCAAATGAGTTATCATTGATAATAAAAATGAGGAATTCTCCCTTACATGAATTTTTCAAAATGGGGGTCTTGCTAATTTTGGATTTTGTAAATATGCGTACATTAATAAAACAATGAATATATATTGTAATATTTTAGTATTCATACATGTTTGACGTTCGCTTACTTAATATTATTAAATTAATTAATCTTTATAATTAGGCTAAGAGTTGTGACATTTTCCAATTTGAGGCTATAAAGATTTTTAAACATAAAAAAAAAATCTATTCGAAAAAAGAATATGCTTTATATTTTGTTTATTATATATCTACGGTGTAGATCTTCCATCTGAGTGTCACGTGACGAACGCTAACTAAAGAGTTAAAAATTAAAATAAAAGGTATAAAAGCACGCAGTCGAAAGTGTAAAACCCTAAAAAACTTTGCAGAAGAGGAAGTATCAGGAAAATGGGAGTTGAGAAGGAATTGTTGAGGAGCGGCACCGGCCGGAAGCCCGTCGTCGGTCAAAAAGTCACCGTTCACTGCACCGGCTTCGGTAAAAATGGCGATCTTTCCCAAAAGTTCTGGAGGTAACCCTCTCTCTCTCTCTCTCTCTCTCTCTCTCTCTCTCTCTCTCTCTCTCTCTCTCTCTCTCTCTCTCCCTCTCTCTCTTCGATTGCTGAAAAATGAGGTGATTGATTTGGGTAACAGCACGAAGGATCCAGGGCAGGAGCCTTTTTCTTTCCAAGTTGGAATGGGCAAAGTTATTAAAGGTACTACTTGTACTCATATTTGAAAATTAAATTGTTGATTGTTTCTTATTTGTGGCTGATTTTAGAGAATTTATCATTTCAAACTGACTACGAATTCGTCAGTGTTCGAATTGTTGAACTTGCTTCTGGTAACTTCTAGGGTATTGTGTTTGGTGAGATATGGAAAAATTGCAAAGTTGTGCTTGAAAAAAAAATGGGTAAAAGGGGGTTTTCAAGAGAAAAGATGAAATGGAATTCCGTGATTTTCTCGGTTTTGTATTGGGAAACGCCGGATTTTTACGTAATATTTATATGTATTGGTGGCTTGAAATATTTTGGTTTTTAACGTTGGAACGGTAAAAGTACATTGATGATGATTTTTGAACTACTTAGACTAAAAATATGGGAGATGATGCTATCCACTTAGGCCTCGTTTGGTTGGGGAGATTAGACATGATAAACTAAATAGTTGGACTTTGTTTGATGTTTGGTATACCCTATTAGGCTATAAATCTTCGTGTCGACCCGGATATTATTTGTTATCATGAGCTTATGTTGCCTTTTAGGAAGCTTTTTTATTGGATATTTACTCTTATCTTGGTTAATCGTATCTTGGCAATCAAATGAGGCCTTAGGAATATAAGCTCAAGAAAATAAAAAAAGGTAGTAATGAGATCTCAAGTGTACTCTGAATTATCAAGAAACGAAAGTTTTCATTTCCATCTAATGATAATGAATGTGTAGATATTAGATGTGCCTCTAACACGATCCTGAAATAAAAGTATGGTTGGTTGTTCGTATTATGATTTTATATTCGCTAAGTGCACAAGTTTTCGTTTCTTAATCTGGATTGCACATTTCTTCTGTTGCAGGATGGGATGAAGGGGTTTTAGGAATGCAAGTGGGAGAAGTTGCTCGATTAACAGTAATACGCAAATCTCCTCCCTTTTTTTCTTTCTTGCCATAGTCTTCTCGTACTTCCATTTAACTCAAATCTATTGCATTTAGCCACTGCAGTTTCTTATAGTAAAATTTTCGACCTTACCACTTTATTATACTATTCCTGAATCCAAACTAGAAGTATCTTTCCACACTTTACGGGCGATAAATCGAGCAGCTAAACAATTTTTAATTTTTTTTCCTTTGAAATAAGATTTTAGCAGCCTGTGAATTTGATAAGAAAATGCTTTCTGTAAAAGTTGAGTTTTATATTATTTCTTCCTCTCTCTCACATTTCTTCGTGTGTCTTTCCATTGTACTGCAGTGCTCGCCCGACTATGCATACGGCACGGGCGGTTTTCCAGCATGGGGTATTAAGCCAAACTCGGTTCTGGTTTTCGAGATCGAAGTTCTGAGTGCTCAGTGACCATCTTATATTATTAGACCTAATAAATAAGAGATTGAGCTTCGCTTATTGCGTTCTCCCATGCTTTTGCATTGTCGTATTTCCAATTATTTTGGATGCAAGTTAGATGTATGAATATTTTGTTACTTATTCTCGTTAAACATCAACGTCGATGTTATGCGTTAAAAATGCTCGTTAAAATTAGGATTTGTCTTTCATGTCCCTTATTTTTTTTTGGGTAAATTACACCCACACCCTTGAGGTATGTTTAAATAACTTTAAGGTCTTTGTAGTATCGATAATCACACTCACCCCCTTGAAACGAGTTATAAGCTCTAATGGGATAATGCATTGGATAAGTTATTACGATAGAGTTCTAACGGACTATTGGTTTCAGGAAGTGGTGGAGACAACAAAGAGTTATGGGTGATTTAAGAAATATTGGGGGAGCCATGTCACCCCATAACTCTATGTTATCTCCACCACTAGCTAAAAATAATAGTCCATTAGAACCCTATCGGAATAATGTATCCAATGCATTATTCCATTAGAGTTTATAACTATGTTTCAGGGGGGGTGAGTGTAATTATCGATACCACAGGAATCTTAAAATTATTTAAGCATACCACAGGGGTGTGGGTGTAATTCACCCCTTCTTTTTTTTTTGTGCTCTGGTTTTCTTTCTTCTTCATTTGCCTGTTATACACATTGCTCGGCAACTTACAGAAAGTTGCTATCTGTATTGTTTAACTATCGATCATTGGCGTGAAGCTAAAAGCTTTTAGTTAGGTTAATTTACGGATGGTGATTGTACCGAAATGGACTTCAATACGTACTCGTGTTTGAAAAGAATGTTTGCTTTGAGCAATGACTAACTAATGTAATTAAGTAAATAAAAATGATTTTTATTTTGAAGTAAAACGTATGAGATATACGAGGATAATGTGTTTCGGTTCCGTCTCTAAAGATTAGTGGTGGAACTTATACGAGAATTCAGAATTTCACTGATTCCGAAAATATGACAAATTTTGGAGCAATATTCATCATTCTGAGTTCCGGTTTTCCGAATTTGTTGGATGAAATTTGGAATACAAATAACATTCTAATTTTGGATTCGAGTTTATATTCTGAAAATTTCAACTTTTTCCCCAAAGATTACACTACTAATATCAAAATATATATTCTACATTATTTATAGGTGAATAAAAATAGATAAATTTACAATTCCCGTTACTTCCGATAAAAAAAAAAAATCCGAATTTGGACCAAACTTTTTCATTGCAAATTCCCATATTTTACGAAAAATTTCAGAACTAAATTGATTTTTTTTTCTTTCGAAAGTAGGAATTCTGATCTAATTCGTCCGGTTTCCAACCCTTGATTTCAACCCCCAGATATGATAGAGGGATGAAGAAGATAAATAATTTTGCAGCCACATAAAGAATCTTTTCCAAAATTTCCAAGGATACAAAATACATATAATTTTACACACACTCAGCTGTTTTAAGTGTCTATTCAAATTCTTCCAAGCAAAAACTTTCAATCAAATCCAAAAGAAGAACCATGACAACAAAATAAAGACACCTTATCAAGAAATCGAATTTCTCCACCTTCGAGTAGCCTTTTTATTCTGATCCGCATTCGCCACGTGGGACCCACTATCGCTATTCTCCGCCATCTTAGTCAGCTTGCTCAACTTCTTCCACCCCGTGGCCCACGCCGACGAAGAAGACGACGATTGTTTCGGTTTGCTCACTTTATTGAACTCTCTCTGCAAAGTCTCCATATCGTTTTGGAGCTCCAAATACTTCGCCTTGACACTCTCGAGTTCAAACTTGAGGGTATTTATGTCTTTTTTTGCCGAGGCCCAACCCTCTTGAAATGACTGTGGGGTACCCTCGAGCAACGTTTTGCGGCTGGCTACTATTGGCTGATGATGAAATTGCGATTCTCCGGCTTCTTTGAGGGAGCCGGTGGCTAATGCGTTGCTGATTTTGACCTGCTCGGAGAAGAGGACCTGCACCACCACTCTGAGCGGAAGCCGCTCGTTTTGGGCGGCGTGCATGCACGCGTCTATCGAGAGTTTTTGGCAGTCCATTACACGGCATAGCCTTTTCCGCTCGTGCTCTGTGAGTGTTGGATGGGCCTGTCAAATTATTTTTGTTAGCACGAAAAAAAAGAGCAAAAAGAAAAAAAAAATGAGGCCCGTTAATGCATGATCGTTAGTTTCTTGAAGTATAATTCCATAAGAGGATCTTCTAGTTCGAACTCGAAGGTATTTATGAATCTGATGAAATGTACGGCAGGTTAAGCTTTGCCCTTCACTCACACGCGCAACGACATGGATGCATGTGTTTTTCTTTTTGGATGAATGGTAGATAGCAATTTCCTTACTTATGTCATACTTAGTTGCGGTCAAAACTATGCTACACCCGGTGAAATACACAAACACCAACATGGATGTGTGTTTAGTTGTGTATATATAAATAGTAAAGATCTTTCGAGTGAATTTCACCCGGTGTAGCTTGGAATGAACCATTAATTGTTAGTGAACTATGTGTCAGAACGATATACAGTAGAACCTCGGTAGATTAATAATCTCGCTTAAATAATAATTTCTCCCGGTCTCGATTAGGGGTGTAAATGAGTTGAGTCGGCTTGTGAGCTCGATGAGCCGACTCGACAAAAGCTCGAACTCGAACTCGAGTTTTTCGAGCTCGAGTTTTCTGACGAGCCGAGATCGAGCTTTTTCGTAGTTAATCCTGAGCTCGAGAGCCTACTTTTTATTTTTATTTTTTATATATTGTTTTGGGTAAATTACAACCACCCCTTGAGGTATGGTTAAATTACGAAAACCCCCTTCCTATTTGAGTAATTACAACCACCCCTCATCTATAAATCTTCTTACACGTCTACCTTTGCGGTTTCAAATTTAGTAGAATCTTCGAGATTATATGGAATATTATCACTTTTGTACCCGCTTTATCCCATTCGAACTGCACATTTTGAAGCAAAATTTTGAAGCAAGATGATCATGATATGTGTTTTTGGCTTGTATATATCAGATTTTGATGCATCAAAAACTGTATTTTTACACAAAACGAGTACAAACTAGAGCACATTCCACGAAATCTAGATGATTATATTGAATTTGACACCATAATGGTGGAGGTGTAAGAAAAAATCATAGTTGAGGGGATAGATGTAATTATTCAAACAAGAGTTTTTTTTTTTAAACTGACCATACCTCAGGGGTGGTTGTAATTACCCTATTATTTTTAATTTAAATATATAATTATCTAATTATTATCATAATAATATAAAAAGTACATATAAAAATTTAGTTAATTACTTATTTTTTTTATATATTTTTATTATAATTATTTTTAATAATAATATAAATAAATTAGAAAAAAATAAATCAAATGAGCTTGGGCTCGATCTCGAGCCCTTAAAATCCGCTCGAGCTCGTCAAAATGGACTCGAGCTCGAGCTCGCCAAATAGCCAGGCTCGAGCTCGGCTCGTTTACACCCCTACTCCCGACTCAATGACAGCGCGCTAAATCATTCATTCGATAATTATGATATTCCGCTATACTATTAGAATTTCGCTAGTCCCCCAACTGTATTAATTTATAGAGGTTTAACATCATATATATATATATACAAGGCACATAACAGTAGTTTTTTTACGACGACTTCTTGTTTCAATTCCAATTGAAAAACATACCTAAAACTCGAGCAAAAATGGGTGAAACCTTAATAAAGAAATAATCGGACATTAAAAAAACTCATATAACTGACCTTAAGATAGGAATCAACTGCTCTGTACAATCCATCATCGCAACTCCTAGCCGATTCAGGCAAAGCCTCCGCCAAAACCTGAAATTTCGTAAGCGACAAGTTTCTATCCCTCGAAACCTCCGTAAGATAACTATCCACAAGCCTCGCAACTCTCATCTTCGCGTTTGGATTATTATTATTAATAGCCCCTGCCCTGTGGGACCCACCATCGTACATTTTATTATCAGAAGACGAGGAATGCCTACTCGGGCTCGAATTCTCAGACTGCTCTTGAACCAAGAAATGCTCCAAAAGCCTCTGCACAAGATCGACATCGTACGTCGTCTCGTTTTTGTTGTAACAAGGAATCAAAAGATCCCCTAACGTAGCCTGCTCTAATTGCATGCCGACCCGTTTTTCGAGCTCGGTCACCAAAGCGGGGGCCACTCTCAACATGTTCGCCATCCTCAACAACCTAAGAAGAAAACTGCACGAAACACTGTCTCTCTGTGGAGGGATTATACTTATCAAACTCTCGACAATCATTCTCTGATCTTTAACTTGAACCGCCGGCAAATCGTCTTTATTTCCAGACAGAATCATGTGGAGCCCACCATTCCAGCTACTACTACTACTAATATTACTTACATTGTTCCCCTCGTCGAGGGGGGCCGTGGCCCCCTCCTTGATCAGACCCGGGAGCCATTTAGCTGCGTAGTGAGTTATCACAGCACCGATGAGTTCGTACCGCATTCCCTTCACCTTAATCGCTGTTATAACACGCACGAAATGGTCGATTCTTAGAATCGTGACATCTTCGAACCACCAATCTGGAGGCACTTGCGTGTTCCTGCTCGGGCTGGAATCTTTCATTTCGTTCCATTTCGGGCTTGAAGATGATCTCGGGGGCTTTCCCGTGTACTGCCATCGTATTCCTTTCGGATTAGCACAAGCTTTCCACGCAATAGATTCGCTGCACCTTCGGACGATTTGGAGATTCTCGGACCAAGGGGAGAGAGTTTCGCAGCTTTTTAAAACAACTATGGAATCCCTCCACGAGGATAGAACGACGTAGCTGAGGAAGGCTTCGGTTTTGAATATGAGATTGCCTTCTTCTAAATCTTCGGTCATTTCTAGATACTCTGCAGCACATCTCAGTCCGGAGATGTTTGCCGCGGTTAGATCGACCGCGATTCCGTAGCAGAATTTGGCCGCGAGTTCGAAAGACTCGGGCCCACCCGGGAGGTCGTTTAGGGCGACCTTGTTCACGTCCGTGTCGCGCGGTGATTCGTATATCACCCTGTTCATCTTCCCACTCCGAGAAAGAAGAGGATACTGCAGAAAAAGAAAAAGAAAAAAACAAGATTCTTGGTTAGTTCAGGCATTACAACAAACAGGTTGTGTGCTGTTTATTTTTTTAAATGATGTTCTTCACTACCTTGTGTATATGGAAGCTGACATCGCCAATCTGAACTACAAGATCACTCGGAATATCAGTCGAAACAAACCTAATTTCCATGAACACGAAAATGGTGGAAACAAAATTAAAATTTACATCATCTGCAAATATTACAAGTAACCTAAAACACACAGAAATCATCGGGAAAAAAAGTTACCAAGATTTGCCTCTCTGCTCAAAACCATCTGTCTGCAAACCGGGTTTGCTACTCGAAAGGACTCCATTGTCGTAATCTCGACCTCCAACCGATTCCGACTCCGAATCCCACATCCTCAAAACAAAAACCAGTTAAACAAAAAATTCCAAATTTATTCAGTTATACTGAATAAAGTGAAGAAGACGATGAAGTATAAGTAGGAAAGAGGAGATCGATCCCCACATGGGGGTGATGCTGCTTTGAAATTTGGGAATTTATTTTTAAACTCTGGTTTGTCGGCTTTTTTTCCGGGATTTTTCAAAGGGGTTTTTGTTTTTTACCGCGAAAACCATGTTTATCTGTTTTGGCAACTCTGCAGAACTTCACATGTTTCTCTCTCTCTACATTTCCCAAGGATCAACTCTTTCTCTCTCACACACACTACACACACTGTAGTGTGTAATAATAATAATAATTAATAACCCATATGGTGTGTCCAAAAACATTCTTCTGAATTTTCCTGATTGAAAAATTGGGAGATGATGACAGTTTAAAGTAGTAGGTGTGTTGTATTAATGGAGTTTCATGTTTTTTTTATTATTATTATTTATTTATTTATTTATATTTTATTAATTTAATTCCTTTTTTTTGAAAATTTATGGTTTCATTCATAGGGAGGGAGGACCACTTTTTGTCTTTTACTGATTGTTTATGTCTTGGGGACCCCTCCCTTAGATAGAGTATAATTACAAAACAACCCCTTGTTTTGAGTAATTAGCTTTTTTATACACTATGTGATGTAGTAATCCAATTTAATTAGCCACCTAACTGATTTGTGATGTAGTTTAAAGAGCTCCACTAATTATATTTTGTCAATATACATAAAATTTGCATTTTTTTATTTAATTTCTGCCATTTTTCATGAATAATTCTGGGAAAAATTTTTGGAGATCTACCCCTGAAACCAGTGGCGGATCCAGGACGAAAATTCAGGGTATGCCGGTTGTGCCGAGTCCAAGAATTTACTGTATAATGGGGTTAAATTTTTGGGGGTTCGGGGGCAGCGCCCCCGGGAAAAAAAAATTCGAACCTTTTTTTGTTGGATAAATTAGGAGAAGGGAAAACAAAATTGAAACTTTTTTTTTTTTTGATAAATTAGGAGAAGAAAAAAATTGGGACTTTTTTTGTATATTTTGAAATTTTGGGTGGAGTAAATAATAATATAGATATAATATAATGTGTTTTTGGGGAGAGGGGCTAAAAAAGAAGAAAAAGTTTAGGACTTTTTTTTATGACTTTTTTTCTATATTTTGAATTTTGAATGGACTAAATAATAATATAGATATAATATAATGTGTTTTTGGAGAGAGGGGCTAAAAAAAAGAAAAAGTTAGGACTTTTTTTGTATAATTTGAATTTTGGGTGGACTAAATAGTAATATAGATATAATATAATGTGTTTATGGGAGAGGGCTCAAAAGAAATTTAGACAAAAAATTAAGCAATAATTTTTTGTACCATAATGGAGTCGAACCCATTGACCTCACCTAACAATTTGGAGATCTTTGCCACTAAGGCAAATTTATTTTCGTTTCTTGGGGTGGTCCATGGCATACTTGGCCACCCCCTAGATCCGCCCCTGCCTGAAACCCGTAAACATTTATCCCACATTTTCAACAAATTCTGGCTCCGTCACTGTTCATAATGACAAGGTTCTTAGTGAGGTAACTAATAGAATAGAAATTCCAAGACAAACCCCCTCGATAATTACGTGGAAATTTATCTTTCACGGATCGAATATATGGCACATTAAGTTATCAGTCTCTCACCATATGTGTATGCTTCTGGGGGTATGCGGAGGAGAAGTTGCTATAATAGGGTTCCGGTTCCGGTTCCGGCGATTACCCGAGTAGGTGTTATCGACTTTTATACCGAACTATTAATTTGTGGTATTCCATCCGTTCTCTATTAAGTGTCGTTTTTTGCTTTTCACAAGTATTAAGAAGCTTAATAAATGTATCTTGATTTTAGGTAAAATATATTAGAAAGACTAAAATAACCTTAATTATTTAATGATGTGATAAGAGAGAGTTAATATTTATAGTTGAATTAATAAGGTTAAAATAGGAAAAAATGCATTTAATGCAATATTGAAAATCTAAAGTGACAGACAATATGAAACAAAAATATTTTTAAAAAGAGAAAGTTATTATGGAACAGAGTGAGTATAATATTGTGAATTATTGTATATTTGATGGAGGCCGACTATAATTTAGTTCATCGAATAAGATATTTTAAAACTCATTATCTGCATAATTTAGTATGAATATCTTAAATTTAATATTTTTTAATCTAAATTATTTTCTTGGAATTATTTTTTAGTTATTGTTCTTATGAACACCATTATTGAATAACAATTTCTACACAAATATTTCTACAATTGAAAAAAAAATATATATATATAGGGTTGCCACACGCGCCGGCAATCATAGAAGAGATGGGCCAGGGCCCAGCTGTGTTGGGTCCAATTGAACCTTAAATGTTCAGTCGTCTCTTCAATTTAATTTCATCTTTTAATTAAGTGCACTTGTCTGCTATTTTTCACTGGAGAAAGAAAAAAAGAAAAAATTTAACAATTCAGTACAGTACAGTATACTTGACATCAATATTGTATACTATACTGAATACTGGAATTCCTAAAAATATTTACCGAATATCGATTCGATATTTGACACGTATCAAATTTTCGATTAGGTTCGGTGAATTTACTAGCCGAGTCAGCAACCCTAGATGCTACGAAACTTGAATTCGGAGTGGTCAAAAAGGGGGTACAAGTGAAGTGGTAGGGTCCACTTATTTATGTTTGAAAAGAATAATATATATACATATATACAAATGGTCCAATTAATAGACTACTTGTCTCGAATTTGGTAAAATGTTTTTTCAAGAAAATAATCATAAACATGGCCTTCAATTTGTATTTTGTTCTATAATAATTAATAATTGAACTCTTTCTCTTTTTCTCCATTTATTGTGTCTTTATTGAGAAAAATTAAGAAAAAAATATAATCTTTATTTTCAATGGCGGAGTCAGAATATAAAATTCAAGTGGGTTGAATGCATTACTGAGGGCTGCCGTTAATGCTATTGTACAAATATATTATATTTATATATAATTAATAAAAATTTGAAAAATGCTGAGGGGCCATGGCCCCCCTTGATTCTGTGTCGTATCCGCCACTGTTTACTTTTGACATGAAAAGAGCGAAATACATTGCATGCATTATAGATGAGGCATCACTTTATTTTTAAAAGTTGAAATTATTTTGTAAATTTGCTGAAAAAGCAACTTTGAGCAATCAATTAAGTAAAATAAATTTTAATTTTTAGCTTGTTTTTTGAAAATATTGTAGACATAATCCTTATAAAGTCGATTTAGATTAGGATAAGAAAGGCGCTAATATAATGTCCAATTCAACTTTAAGCCAATAGATCCAATGCAAACATGCTTTTGAGATTATACCTTAAAATAATTTACTAAAAACTTTTGCAAAAACTATCTAATTAAAATATAAGAATATGAGATTTCTAGTTATGTGTGGCACGAAAACTTCAACTTCTTAAAGTATTTGCGTTTCGAACACGTTTCGCGTGTCCGACACTTAAGGACACCTGCCGGACACTCTATGCAACATTTTGCAATTTAAGAAAAGTCAGTAACGTAACGAATTTCCAGATATTTTTGTTGCTTCCCAATACGTATATGGACTTTTTTAGTAGACAACCACTTAAATGAAGATTTCTACTAATATAATTCTTTTAGCAATTAAACTAAACACAAAGGTGTTTGAATGCAACAAAGCCATTTTATTTTCCAACTTAATTAATTAATTTATATAATATTATGAACATATATTTAATTCATACACTCTTTTAATAATATCAAATGTTAAAACTTTATCCGAAGAATTAGCTTATAAGCTAGCTAGTAATTGCAACCGCAGCGACCGGAAACTGGATTTATCGACACCGGCACCGCTAATTTCCTCAGCTTCACCTTTCCAAGAACTTTCCGGGCCCACTCCGAAAAATAGGTTTCGTTGTGTCCAATTTTGCCGTTCTTGTACACAACTGACATGCACCGCTGGTCGTTCTCCGGGAAGGGGCGGCGGTCTCCGGCAGGGTCCCGCCAAGCCCCCTCGTGTATCATCCCTGACCAGCCGGCGAGATCGCGGTACACGTACTGCCCGACTCCGGCGAGTTCGAGCCACCCCTTCGGAAAAAGCTCCATCACGCTGCTGTTTTTGTCCATTAGGAATATGTTGGAGAGTTGTGCTCCGTGTGCCGATACCATAACGTCCGTTAAACTCATCAGCTTCACCTGTAAGGAAAAAGAAAATTGTTCGCGGGTTAGGGTTTTTTTTTTTCCGGCCGCTTTATATGTTTTTCTTTCGGTTTTTTTTTTTCGTTATCCGATTAGTAAAACTTTTGTTTTTCTTATATGCTTTAACTTTTAGAATTATAAAATTTGTACTAAATGTGCAAAAATATTGATAGTTAGTAGCACAATTACTATTTGGTAAGTTATAGGTGGTGTTTGCAGAAGATTTTGAAAAAATAGAAGTTGGTGATTACGAGTTAAGTTAGTGATAAATCATAAAAGTGTACTGTGTATTTCCAAAAGTTGAAGATTTTTGTAAAACTACTCGAAAAATCAACTTTGAGCGCGTAACTTATTTTAAGAAAAGTTGGCCCAGTGGTGCTTTTCAGATTTCAGATCAAAACAACTTATTTTAAATGCTACGTGTGGTTAATTTATGTACCTGGTTGATACGATCATTGAAATATATTGAAATACAGTTAAATCTCTATAAATTAATATAGTCGGAACTAGCAAAATTCTATTAATTTAGCGAAATATTAAATTATCGAACTAATAATTTAGTAAGTTTTTGCCGAGTCAAGACTAGAAAAAAACTATTATTTAAGTGAGGTTATTAATTTATCGAGTATTAATTTATTGAGGTTCTACTGTAGTTAGGAATTGCTTGCAATTGTTAGGAATTATAGGTTCGGTAAGAGTTATTGCTTTATCTATAACTAGGATTTGAAAATTAGTTTAAACTTTAAAGTACAATATAGCCAATAGGAGTTATTGTTTCATGAGTAATTATAATAGTTAATTTCATAAGTATAGCATTGAAATTTATGTAACTAATATTGGAGATATTTAATAAGGATAGAATTGTAAATTATGTAATTACAGTATTGTAATTCTGAAGTGCTGTAGAATATGCAGAAAAAAAATTAATCTAAAGTGACAGATATTATAGAACTGATTACGAAGTTTACCTGTTCACAAAAGGTCAAGTTACGAAGATAAGCCACCATGAGCTGGCACCCCTCCACCTTTCGGCACTCCTTCTCGAAAATCCTAATCACCTCCGATGCATTCTTGAACGATCTCGGACCGTCCCTCATCAACACGGTCATCCCGATACTCGATCCGTTAACTTCACGAGACTTCGCCCCGCAGTAAACCCTAGACCGGCACCTCATCAGATCGTACACCTCCACTATCTTCTCATTCGACATCCCGCCCTCGTTGTGCCTCATCACAACCGCCTCCTCAAAGCAAGTTGCCACCCGATCACCACCACCGGGACCCTCAAAATCTTCGATTTTGAGGGGACCACCCCGAAACGTGGCCTCCAGAAGAGTTTTAACCCACGGCGCCAAATCCGTCCTCAGCTCCCCCCAGTGGTACAAAATCCACCTGGCGGGCGGCCCCCCCGCGCACCGGCCCCTGACGTGCCACGCGACGAAGGGCATCAGCACCGACAGTCCGTGCCAGATGTTATCGTAGTCGTAGTGATTGTACGACACGAAGGTGGTGCCCCTTGCCAGCGTGGCGTTGGGGGGTAGGGTTTCGGGCCAGGCGAGCGCGTACGAGTTGCGGGCCCCGTCCCGCCTGTCGCGGCCCCTGAGGCACAAAACCCTACCCCCGGAGGCCTCCGACGGGAAGTGCTGGTATCGGACCTCGTCCGGTTCGTGCACGTCGTGCATGGAGCTCATGAACCACGTGTGGCCATCCGCGGCGGTGCTAGCGTACCGGAGATCCTTTAGAGGGAGAAAGGTGACGGCTCGGCTGAGTTTCGAGGCCATGGATTTGAGCTCCTCTTGGCTGCTGACGTGGACAGTACTAGTTGAAAGGCATGAGTTATTGGTGAATATAATATTTTTTCCATTAGAGCCCATGAGGGTGCATGGAGTTTGGAGGGACTGGATTTCGAAGAGAACGACGATTAAGGCGAAAAAGGCGACGAGGTAGATCGAAAGTTTCGGTGAAGAAAGAGAGCATGAACTGCTATTGGAGTTCATGGTGTTGTCTGCTTCTTTAGCTGGTGTTTTCATGGTTGACCAAAATTTAGGATTTTTTTAGGAGACTATATATTTGAAGCAAACTGTAATATTCGGTTGGCAACAATATAAGTTGTGCTTTTAGGATCCGATCATCTCGCCCCACCCTCTTTAATTACCTTTGCACTTATTAATTCGTGCCTAATTATCTTTAATTACCTCTATTCAATACTTTTCTCTCACTTCATAAACACTAATACAAGAGAGATCGATTATGAGTACTCAATCAAACAAATTAAACATATGTGGCTTAGATTAACACATACATTTTATTTAAGCACATGCAAGTAATTTGAATATATCTAGATCTAGTTAATGCCTCCTAAGTTTACTTTTTTACTATTTGATCGACCAATCACATGCATGGCAAGTTCAATATTTTGGTTAAGAAAAAATATACATTGCTTAATTAAATGATCGATAAATTTCACTAGTAGCTTAAACTTTTGGTTGATATGGTCATTCAATTTGATATAAGAGTCAGATCAAATGAAAGGTCGTCGTCAGCTGCACTTCAAAAGGCGTATTGGAGAAATATTAAATGAAACATTTCACTAATAGCTTAAGTTTTTTGTTAAGATCATGTTCATTCAACAAGAAGTGAAACGTGTAATATAATTTTGAAAAAAATATCAAACATAAAAACTTTTATTAAAAGTAGGAGAAATAAGCTAGCTTAAAGCTAGTTGCAACCGCAAAGACCGGAAACACTTCGCACCGACGTCCTCCGCTTCACCTCGCCGAGAACTCTTCTGGCCCACTCGGAAAAGTAGGTCTCGTCGTGTCCGATTCGGCCGTTCTTGAAAACCGACATGCACCGGCGGTCATTCTCCGGGAAGGGGCAGTGGTCTCCGGTGGGGTCCCGCCAAGCCCCCTCGTGTCTCATCCCTGACCAGGCGGCGAGCCAGTGGTAGACGTACTGCCCGACTCCGGCGAGTTCGAGCCAACCCTTGGGGAAAAACTCCATCACGCTGCTGTTTCTGTCCATGAGGAACATGTTGGTGAGCTGTGCTCCATGTGGGGATACCATAATATCTGTTAAACTCATCAGCTTCACCTGTGTGAACGAAGTAATGTTTTAAGAAATAATATACTCCCCCCCTATAAATTTCACATTTCGGCACTTTTACCCCTAAAAATTCAGAAAAGAGATAACTTTCCCTAGAAATGTTGTTTTGGTTGCATTTTGCCCCAAAACAACATTTGGAAGGGGGCATTCACTTTTTTAAATTTTGAGGGGATAAGGTACAAAAATAAAAATAAGGGCAAATTGCACTTCACCCCCTTAAATATTGCCGTTTTTGCACTTTCCCCCTAAAAATAGAAAAACGAGACTGTCCCCCTTAGAAATATATAAGTCGGTGCACTTTGCCCCAAGTCTCGATTTTCAGGCTAATTCTCGCCGGATTAAGGGTATACAAGTCATTGTACTTTTCCCTCTTCAAAATCCCGCTTTCACTTAGGGTTCTCCATGCCACAATAGTCAATTCCCAAATTGAACGACTCCCAAAGCCACAAATTGACTTCCCAAATTGACAAAATTCTCACCCAAAGCCACAATATTCGCTTTTCTTGTTCTTCATAATCAGTATTTGCACAACGCAATCAAGACAATGGGTTGGGAATTACGGCAAAAGGAATGCAGAGACCTGACTATGGTGAGCACCTACCTTCGATTGTGTTAATGATTTTGTATAAATTTGAGTTTTCTTTACAGTATGACTATTTTTTGTATTTTTTATTTATTTTAGGAGATGACCCAACCGATTTCACTATTCAAATGCACCATGGAGGATATTTTGCTGATCTTGGTTCAAGGTGTTATGTTGGAGGTAAAATCGATCACTTTGACCATTGCAATTCAGATATGATGTCGATGCATTCAATGTCTGTAGAATTAGGTCTTTTTCAGCCAGGTGATAATAATGTTGTAATTAGGTATTATCAAAGTCTCTCTCTACAGCCAGGTGAAAGCGCGGGATTTTGAAGAGGGAAAAGTACAATGACTTGTATACCCTTAATCCGGCGAGAATTAGCCTGGAAATCGAGACTTGGGGCAAAGTGCACCCATTTATATATTTCTAAGGGGGACAGTCTCGTTTTTCTATTTCTAGGGGGGAAAGTGCAAAAACGACAATTTTTTAGGGGGTGAAGTACAATTTGCCCTAAAAATAATTATAGGGGTGACATATATGCAATTTGCACTTTTAAATAGGATAACCTAGCTAAGACTACTCTTTATATATATATATATATATATTAGCAATTTTCTCCCCGTCCGATGCAAGGGATTAAAAAAAGAAGAAAGATTAAATATATATTAATTAAATTGTACTTAATAAATCCACATCGGTGTGATAAAAGAGAGAGGAGTAAAATATATATATATATATATATATATATATATATATATATATATATATATATATATATATATATATATATATATATATATATATATATATATATATATATATATATATGCCTTAAAACTCTAAAACGAGGCATAATATGGAAAATATTATATCTAGAGAGAGAATGAAATTTTAAAAACCGAATTTTCAAAAACAAATATAAATTAAATTTTGCAAAGATTAATATGTAAAATTGAAATAGGAGAAATTAATTGAAGAACAAAATCACTAATTATGCCAATTTAGAAGAAAAACAATTTGTTATCTAATAGATCTAACCAAATTAAACAAGCCTCAATAAAATTATTTGTTATCATAAATTGGAAATTATAGCTAAACTTCCTCCATCCAAATGTAAGTGACTTAATTTATGCAACTACCAAATATTTGCTTGCTTCAAACCAATTCTTTTGATAACAAAAATAGGAATAAATTAAAATAAGAATATCAATGAAAAAAACCACTTAATCAATTAAATACCTGCTCACAAAATGTCAAGTTATGTGGATAAGCCACCATGAGCCGGCACCCCTCAACTTTCCGACACTCCTTCTCGAAAACCCTAATCACCGCCGATGCATTCTTGAACGATCTCGCGCCGTCCCTCATCAACATCGTCATCCCGATACTCGATCCACCACCACGTGGCTTAACCCCACAATAAACCCTAGATCGGCACCTCATCAGATCATACACCTCCATTCTCTTCTCCTTCGACATCCCACCCTCGTTGTGCCTCATCACAACCGCCTCCTCAAAGCAAGTCACCGCCCGATCACCACCACCACCACCACCGTCCGATCCATCGCGATCGAAATCTTCGATATCGAGGGGCCCACGGCCGAACGTCGCCTCTAGCATAGTCCTCACCCACGGCGCCATACTAGTCCTCAGCTCGCCCCAGTGGTACAAAATCCATCTCGTGGGCCCCGCGCACTGGCTCCGGATGTGCCAGGCGACGAAGGGCATCATGGCCGACAATCCATGCCATATGTTGTGGTAGTCGTAGTGGTTGTACGAAATGAACGTAATGCCTTTCGCCAGGGTGGAGTTCCGGGGTAGGGTTTCGGGCCAGGCGAGCGCGTACAAGTTGCGGGCCCCATCTCGTCTGTCGCGGCCCTTGAGGCACAAAACCCTACCGCCGGAGGCCTCCGACGGAAAATGCTGGTATTGGACACCGCCTTGCTCGTGCGTGTCTTGCATGGAGCTCATGAACCACGTGTGGCCTTTCATGGCGGCGTTGGCGTATCGGAGATCCTTTAGAGGGAGAAAAGTGACAGATTCGCGGAGCTTCGAGGTCATGGATTTTACAATCTCATCCTCTTGAGTGGTGATGTGGCAAGAAGAATTCGAAAGGAACGAGTAATTGGTGACGATTTTTTCGTGCATGAGAGACCATGATGGTGGAATTTGGAGAGATTGGATTTGGAAGAGGGTGAATATTACGACGAAAACGGCGACTAGGTAGATCGAAAGTTTCGATGAAGAAAGAGAGCATGAAGATGATGATGATGATGATTCTCTACGTAGAAAATGATTGGATTTGCTAATTAGAGAGCTACAATTTGAGTTTGATTCTTTAGTTGGTTTTTTCATGGCTAAAAATTGAACCAAAGATTAGGGTAATTAATTAAGATGTGCAAAATTGAACAATTTGGTTAACATTGGGATCTATATTTTCAAAATGGTGTGCATATTTTCGAAATGCCAAAAAGAAGAAATGTTACTTAAGGAGCCGGAAACGCATGCAATTCCTCGATTATAAAATAAAAAAAAAATTGACAATTTCTTCCACGTATACATAACCAAAGTTTGTATTATTTTATTACATATGATTAATGAAAAAAATTCTCATTTGTAATACATTTTATAGAATCAAATAAATTATTTTCGCTTAGTGACATCGAAATATATAGTTGGTGAGTAGTGTATTTGTTTGACTAATGAAACGCACGTGTAAGAGTCAACCCCGGATGAAATGTTACTCTTACTTTTACCTTTTACCTTTGCACTTATTACAAGCAATCCCTAAATAATCTTTGGCTCTACTTTCAGTACTTCTCGACTTTTTCTATGCTATACCCAATAAATGTTACATTTGGTGAATTTTTACCGTTAATCACCAATAAATATTACTTGAATATTTGTTTTAGTTGCGCCATAAGATACTACATTTAGACAAATTATATTTGTTTCTCGTTTTTTTAGTTGATGATGGACCGTAAATATTAAATTTGATGCGGTAGTGGTTTTTTTTTTTCATCCCCAATGCTTGATAATAATGGATGAAACAAAACGCCATGATGAAAAAGATTTTTAATTTGATAGAAAAATTATGCACTTAATTTAAGGATTGAAAATAGATGCAAGGACCAAATTAAACTGAATAAAAAGACTTGTGTATGCCCAACTTATTAATTCATCATTTATTAAATGTCCATTTTAAATTGCTAAAAGACAAGAATATATATATATATATATATATATATATATATATATATATATATATATATATATATATATATATATATATATATAGATAATCATTTATAAAATGTCCATTTTAAATTGCTAAAAGACAAGAATATATATATATATATATATATATATATAACTTTGGCCCCGTTAGGAAGTGGGTCCCAAAGGTATTGTTTGTGACGCATATATCACTGCCGACATTATATCTCATCATTCTTCTAGATCAATTCGAGAAATTAACTTGTCAAAAATAAACTTTCATTAATTACGAAATAAATTCTTTTATAATTTAAAATGGAAAGACCACAGCCACAAGTTGGCTTCTTAGTCACCTACTCTAATAACATCTGCTATCTGTGTTGCCCTCTGAAAAATATGTGTGATCCGGAACTATCTTATTTACAACTTGCAACCACAGAGATCCGAAACATGACTCGTTGAGGCTCGCGCCGCCGCTTTCCTCATCTTCACATCGTTGAGAACTTTTCCCGCCCACTCGGAAAAATAGGTCTCGTTATGTCCAATTTTGCCGTCCTTGACCACCTCAAAGCACCGCCCGTCTTTCTCCGGGAAGGGGCAGGGCTCTCCGGCGGCCGGGTCCCGCCAAACCCCCTCGTGGATCATCCCCGACCAGCTGGCGAGCCATTGGAAGATGTACTGCCCGACTCCGGCGAGTTCGAGCCACCCCTTGGGGAAAAACTCCATCAAACTGCTGTTTTTGTCCATTAGGAATATGTTGGAGAGTTGTGCTCCATGTGCTGATACCAATATGTCTGTTAAACTCATCAGTTCCACCTGTCAAAAAAAAAAAAAAAAAATTGTTGATATTTTCCAACGGCTTAATTATATTAGGACAAAATGCACTTCGCCTCGTATAAATTTTCCATTTTTGCATTTTTCCCCTGAAAAATTTAGAAAAGAGATACCTCCCCCTTTGAAATATTATTTTGGTTGGACTTTGCTTCATAAACCAGTTTTTGGAGGGCATTGCGTAACAAAAATACCATCTTAAAGGGGCAACGTGCAAAAAATAGTGTTTTTTAAGGGGTAACGTGTAACAAAAATAGCATTTAAAGAGGCAAAGTGCAACAAAAATACTCAATGCCGATGAATAATCCATCAGAGTTTTGCTATCGTGGCAATGTGCAACAAGAACAACATTTTGAAGGAGGACATTCGCTTTTAAAAAATTGAGGGGGTAAAGGGCGAAAATTAGAAATTTACAGGGATGATGTGCAATTTGCCCATTATATTATTATTATTATTTTTTCTTTATCTGATTATTAAAATTCAACAAGTTGTAGTGAAATTCGTCAAGTACGTAATTGTATTTAAATTTGAAAGAGGACAAATTTTCTAACAAAGCCAATTTAGAGGATCAAAATTGTAAGGCTCGTGTGAATGGCGAGTTCAACTCAACGAGTTGAAAATAGTTCAAAATGAGATTTAAAAATTCGAAACTCGTTGTAATTGCATTTTGATCGAATTTACCTGTTCGCAAACGGTCAAGTTACGGGTGTACGCCACCGTGAGCCGGCACCCTTCCACCTTCCGACACTCCTTCTCGAAAACCCTAATAACCGCCGATGCATTCTTGAACGATCTCGCCCCGTCCCTCATGAACAACGTCATCCCAATATCAACACTCGATCGTCCATTGTTACCATCACGCGTCTTCACCCCACAGTAAGCCCTAGACCGGCACCTCATCAGATCATACACCTCCATTCTCTTCTCATTTGACATCCCGCCCTCGTTGTGCCTCATCACAACCGCCTCCTCGAAGCAAGTGGTCCCCGCACCATCACCACCACCATCGGTCCCCTTAAAATCGAAGATTTTAAGGGGGCCGCCCCCGAAGGTGGACTCTAGCAGAGTCCTCACCCAGGGGGCCATATTCGTCCTCAGCTCGCCCCAGTGGTACAAAATCCACCTGGCGGGCCCCGCCGCGCACCGGCTCTTGATGTGCCACGCGACGAAGGGCATCGTGGCCGACAGTCCGTGCCAGATGTTGTCGTAGTCGTAGTGATTGTTCGAAACAAACGTGACGCCCCTCGCCAGGGTGGCGTTGGGGGGTAGGGTTTCGGGCCAGGCGAGCGCGTACGAGTTGCGGGCCCCATTCTGTCTGTCCCGGCCCCTGAGGCACAAAACCCTACCGTCAGAGGCCTCCGACGGAAAATGCTGGTATTGGATCTCGCCTTCTTCGTTGGTGTCCTGCATGGAGCTCATGAACCACGTGTGGCCCTCCGAGGTGCGTCGGCGTATCGGAGGTCCTTTAGTGGGAGAAATGTGATGGATTTGCGGAGCTTCGAGGACATGTTTTTCAGCTCCTCTAAATATTGGGCGCTGACAACGGCGTCGACGGAAGAATTCGAAATGCACGATTCGTTGGTGGCCGTTTTACCCCATTGTTGGCGCACGAGAGCCCACGACGGTGGATTTTGCATAGATTGGATTTGGATGAGAAGGAAAAACACGGCGAAAGTCGCGAGGAGGTAGATCGGAAATTTTAGTATAGAAAGACCGCACGAATACGACGATGACGGTGATTCTTGATCTCGGTTTTCCATGGCTACTAGATTTGAAGCAAAACTGGCTATGGAGGTAAAGATGAAATTGAAATAAAATAATTTCAAAACTGAAGATTGAATTTGTTAATTTGTTACAAGTACTAGTGTGGCAGATATAGATCAAACTAACATGCAAGAGTCAACCCCGAAAAATATGGAGTAAACCATTGGAGTATTTAAAGACTAAAGAGTCCACGTTCAGCTAATCGTCTTCCTTCTTATAAAGAAAAGGGTAAATTTCGTTTTCCACAATTGTACTTTGGCTCAATATCACTTTATTCCCTTCTACTCTCAATTGCATTGCATCTATTTGTCTCCCTGAATTTGAAAAATTGTCTCAATGCGGCCCTCGCCGTTAGTTTGCAGACCTTTGACCTTAACACCGTTTGATCCAAGTCTGAAAATTACAAAAAATCAACATCTCCCAGTTTAAATAATTATTAAAAAAAAACAAAAAAAAAAACAAAAAATAATAAAAAAATTCAAGACAACGAGAAAATATAGTCCACGACACCAGCCATAATTTATTTTTAATTTTGTAGTAATTATTAAAATTAGAGGGGTGGATTTTTGTTGTAATTTTCAGAATTAGATCAAACGGTGCTAAGATCAAAGGGCCACATTGCGACAATTTTTCAAGTACAAGGGGATAAATCGGTAAAAGGGGTAAGATGATATCAAGGTGAAAGTGGAATTTACCATAATAATAATAAATATCTGGTAGAAGTCAGCGGTAACTGCGGCGGTTTTGACTTGTGATGGGAGAGAAGGCTGGTGGGAATTCGGGGCAGTAAGTCCAAAACC